TTGGAATACTAGAATTGGCAAGTATTTCCAAGCAAATAATTTCATAAAATGTCCCCATGAACATGCTCTTTATGTCAGAAAGGAGGAAAATGGAGATATCTTGATTTTTTGCCTTTATGTTGATGATCTAATATTCACGGGAAATAATCCCAATTTATTTGAGAATTTCAAAAAGGCAATGAGTCAAGAATTTGAAATGATCGATATGGGCTTAATGTCTTATTATTTGGGAATTGAGGTGAAGCAAAGTGAAAGTGGAATTTTTATCGGTCAAGAAGGATATGTAAAGAAAATCCTTCAAAAGTTTAAAATGGACGATTGTAATCCAATCAATACCCGGGTTGATTGTGGAGTAAAATTATCCAAGTTTGATGATGAGGAAAAGGTGGAACCCACAATGTTCAAGAGCTTAGTTGGGAGCTTACGATACTTGACTTGTACAAGGCTCGACATTTTGTACGAAGTTGGTCTCATTAGCCGGTATATGAAAGATCCAAGAACCTCTCATTGGAAGGCCGCCAAGCGAATTCTTCGCTACATCAAAGGTACTCCTAACTTTGGCTTGTTTTACAATTCTTGCAAAGATTTCAAGCTTGTTGGGTATAGTGATAGTGATTGGGCCGGAGATGTATATGACCGTAAGAATACTACCGGATTTGTCTTTCTTATGGGTAATACGGCTTTTACTTGGAGTTCAAAGAAGCAACCTATTGTGACCCTCTCTACATGTGAAGCCGAGTATGTTGCGGCCAACTCTTGTGTTTGTCATGCTATATGGCTCCGGAATTTATTCAAGGAAATAGGCATGCCACAAAAGGAGCCTACGGAGATATATGTGGATAATAAGTCGGCAATAGCATTGGGAAAGAATCCGGTATTCCATGACCGTAGCAAGCACATTGATACCCGCTATCACTACATTCGAGAATGCATTGAAAGAAAAGAGGTTGAAGTAAGGTATGTAAGATCTCATGATCAAATTGCCGGCATCTTCACGAAGCCGTTCAAGCACGAAGATTTTCGAAGGTTGAGGACCATGCTCGGAGTTACAAAAACAAGTTTAATGGGGATGTTGAAAATTAAACTTGTTTTTGGGCCTAATTAATATTTACTTTAATTGTTGTTGGGAAGGCCAAGTGATAGAAAAATCTAGAAGGAATAAATTCTAGAGCTTCTCTAGAAGATGTGGTCTAGAATTTTCCTATAATTAATTGAGTAGAATTGTGCAGAATGTATTAATTGTAGAAGATTCTAGATATCTTTGTGCTAGTATAAATAAAGGTCTCCTACCCCTACTTTGTATCAAGCAAATCAAGCAAATTGAGTTGTTCTAATAAAAAGAGTTCTTCCTCTTTGTTCAAATATCTCTTCCATAATATTTCTAATTTAGCCTCCCAATTTCCCAAATCTTCCTTCACTTATTTCCTCTTTATTCTAAGCACTTCACTTTTGTTATTGAATTAATTCAGAAATGCCCAAAGCTATGTGGACTTGGCATTGATGCAGGGTTTCATGTAAGGCCCATTATTTACATATTCATTTGGCCATTATGATTTTGTATTCATTATTCTCTTCAAATGCTAAGTTGCTAACAGGTGAGGCATGCATATGCCATATCGATTTCTCTTTTCCATGTGATGTACTTGGTTCACAGATAGAGAGAAGATGAAGAAGACGTTTCCAGAGTTTTGGCTTGTCCCTACAGCTGTGTTATTAAAAAGGAACTGGAAATGCTTAAAACAGTGAAGATCAAATTCTTTAATGGATACAGACTGGGACTGGAAGGGCTATTTGTCAAAACAATCCTTTTGAAGTCACCCGCTCTTGAGGAGCTTGTGATTATGAAATCACCTCACTGTAAGGCTTTGGAAATCCTAGAGGAAATCATGTGCTTCCCTCGTTCATCCGGTCATTCCCACAAGCCCGAGTTGTCTTCATTGATTATTAGTATGAGTACACTAGTCAGCCAGCTGTGTAGGTTCTTCCATGCATGTGTAATGTGTTTTATATACTCCCAGGGGTAAGGCTCTGTGTAATCAACTTGTTTTGCTGGATCGGAAGTTCAAAATGTTTTTTTGCAAGGTCGGTATCAACTTTAAATATGAGTGCACTCATATTTAAGGTACTTATTTGGCAGAGTAGGAATAATACTAGTAATAAATTAAAATTAGTTACAATAACGTAACATTTCTTCGGTCCTTGATTTTCCTTGCCTAGTGAAGCATTTAGTTTCGTAGTATAATAACATAAAATATAATCTGTCAAAGTATGACTTCTTTGACTGATTATATTTTATATAAAGAAAGTATTGATAACATAAAATGATATGAAAATGTTCTTTGTTAAAAATACTATCATAAAAGTATAAATTATTAAATTTTGCATAAATATATTAGTTTAAATAATTAGTCAAAGTTTACTATCTTTGACAGGAAAAGTCAAAGATGATTAAGTAAATTGGGACGGAGGGAGTATTATACTCGCATATTTAAAAGTTCACTAATTAGGTCTTGGCACAATATTTAAGTGGGAAATAGTAGAGGGTAATGAATAGTGTAAAAAAATTAGGAGAAAAAGTGAAAAAGTAGGAAAAAGAAGATAAGAAGAAGAAAAAAGTATGGATAATTGGGTATTTTAAAGGAAAAACTTACCAAAAACGAAAAGTGTAGCAAACTTCTAAATACACTCCAGATAGGAAAGTGTAACAAACTTTTAATACATTCTAAATAGGAAAGTGTATCAAACTTTTAAATACAGAGAGAATATTTTTAGAGATATTCATCATGAACTTTTATTTGGAAAATCTTTCTAACCTATTATAGTATCTGTTCTGTTAAAACCAACATCCTTGAACTGAGATGAGATTCGAATCTGTGACCTCCTCTTAGGAAGTGTCACAGTGATGTCATCAAAACACAAGGTACTTGGCAATTATGATGAACTTAATGTACTTAATGTTACTATCTATTGAGTATTTAACATATTTAATTATTATAAAAAGTCATATAACCTTTTATGACTATAAAATTGTGTCTGGATTGGTCATTGTGCTTTGTAATTTCTTAATATGTTTCATTCAAAAGAGGTGATAATTACTCTATCTTATAGTTATTCATTTGTATGTGTTATAAGGACTCTGAAAATAAAAAGTTAGAAATTGTGGAGTGAAATTTTTTCTAGATAAATTTCAATTCCATATTTTCTATATTTTAATTTCATAGACCTTTTAACCCAAATAACTATTTCTTAAAATAGATATTAAAGCTTTGAATATGAAACCATCAAAACTTTAACATACTTTTGTTAATACAAGACACTAAACCAATATGATATTATGATTGGTAAGAACTTCCTTTTTAACAACTCGAAGTGTATTGTGTGAAGACTGAAGTTGTAAAAAACACATGCTCTTAAACCTGCAATTGAGTAAATTTATCTATCGAGTATTTAACATATTTAATTATTATATATAAAAGTCCTATAACCTTTTATCATTAATAATTTGTGTCTGGATTGGTAGTTCATTGTACTTTGTAATTTCTTAATATGTTTCATTCAAAAGCGGTAATAATTACTCTATAATATATTTTTTCATTTGTATGTGTTATAAGGACTATGAAAATAAAAAGCTAGAAATTGTGGAGTTTTTTTCTCTAGATATATTTCAATTCCATATTTTCTATATTTTAATTTCTTAGACCTTTTAACCCAAATAACCATTTCTTAAAATAGTTATTAAACCCTTGAATATGAAACAATCAAAACTTTAACATACTTTTGTTAATACAAGACACTAAACTAATATGATTGGTAAGAACTTCCTTTTTAACAACTCAAAGTGTATTGTGTGAAGACTGAAGTTGTAAAAAACACATAGACCTTAAAGCTCCGATTGAGTAAATTTACATGACAATAATCAAGAATAAGAAAAAGAATTTAAGCACACTCTAAAATACTATTAGTATACCTTAACTATTATTCTTCTTCGACATAGTAGTAACTAACTATAAAAATACTCTTAATATATTCAGTATGAGGTAGACTACATATATACAATAATAGGAATTTAGCGAGTACGATGCGAATAAAGATTTTTTCTGCTATATTTTCTTAAACACTTTAATGAAATACTAATATCTCTGTCCAAATTAGGGTTGTGCATGATCGGTTAACTGCATTTCGGTTAACGCACTTCCGGTTATCGAGAGTTTGGTTAATATACTTTCAATACCATTATTGTATCATAACATCAATTAATTGGATATCTGATAACCAAAATTTCAGTTTATCACTAATCGGTTAACGAAATAGCATTAAATAAATAAATTAAACTAAAGTGCCAAATAATTAAAATGTTGTGTTGAATGTAAAAACATATGTTGAAGATATGAGATACTCCCTCCATCTCCCTATCTTTGTCCCGTTTAATATTTTTCGGCTGTCGTCTCATTAAGTTTGTCTCATACCATATTTGGTAGAGGAAGTGGTGCAACTCAGCTGGTCGCCGACTCAGTCTCTCCCATACGGGAGGTTTCAGGTTCGAAGTCAATGGAGGAAGTTTCAGCCTTGTTTACCCCATGCTCCCCCCAGCCACCCTCCCCTACACCCCTGACGTAAAAAAATTGATAATTTTTGGGTGATTACTAGAGTTTTTTCCCGGAATAATGTTAATTAAATAAATTATTCCCAAAATACTGTCGGTTCAAAAATAATTCCCGAAATATTGTTGGGGTTAACCATGGTTAAGCAAAGCCGCCACTCGAAGTGGCGGCTCTTCATCGTGCTATACAAAAGCCGCCACTTGAAGTGGCGGTTCTTCTATACGTATACAAAAGCCGTCTCTTCAAGTGGCAGCTCTTGTGTTTAGCAAGCTGCTGAACTATTAATTACACAAATGAACCTGTAGTTACCAAAAAATCTGCTTATCACAGTCCATTCTACTCAAACAAACAACCAAACATATGATTTACTAAGACAAAATACATCTGAAACACAAAACGAATCAATGAAACTCATTGCATCACGACACTTGAAATAAGACATAAAAGTTATAATAAATCCGGTGTTTCACAAAATGATTCAATCTGCCAGTGCATGTTACAAATCTCACACAATAATACAAATACAAAGATCATAAGTCAACGTGATCATCATCATCATGAAGTTCATGTGGCTGTGGCTGTGCTCGGGGGCGCCTGCGCTGGTTACGAGGGTGAAGAACAACTCTATCACGTCGGACTGCCTGAGAAGACCCTGCTGTGGATGCAGATGCGGTGGAATACTGAGAGTCGGCCATATATCCATAATCTACTCGGCCCAATACATCAGCGCACAGTGCAACAATGCCCGAACAAGCCTCATGGTATCCCTGTACATCTACTACCTCATCAAGTACATCAGTCGCTCTGTCATGGATGCTACGCAATGCCCGTGTCTTTAATACAAACATGATTATTAGTGAAAACAAATGAATAAATAAATAAAGTTATTTTAGTGACTATTGTTTACCGTCATATGAAGAGCGACTGAGCTAGACTGGTAATGATCAGTGGGTAGACGAAAACTGGGAGAGATGAACACCCGTGTGATGGTGTAATACCATCTCATGTAATCTGCAGAGGCTGTAGGGACTAAGGATGGGGTCCCGTGCACTATATGCGTCACTCTCTCATCCCACATAGTGATATACTGAATATGACGCATCCCCCAATCTTCAGTGTGCTTCCCTCGTCTGTCAAACTTGTGTATGTCCACAGATGTATCACAAGGTTCAGGAATAACCTGCTGCAACCCGAACTGTCGTAGTACGCAACCAGGAAAGTGATGCTCTACTACATCAAAACATATCAAGGGCACATGTGCTCGCCATATCTGAGTGTGCTCTCGGCCAACAGGAGGCAACAGTCCAAGAATCTCATGAGTGTACGGCCTCCACGTCATCTTTAAAACAAAACAGTGTTACATCATAGTTTATAAAAACGTAAAACAAAGTACTTACATCTAATGATATACTATCACACATGCGATCTAAAGCATCTCGGTAGTACCCTAATCCAGCGGCGGATGACGTGCGTGTGACGTGAGCAAATAGCCATCTCACACACATTAATGCATAAGAATATAAAAGGGATTCACGTACGTCATACATAAATTTCAAAAAAGAAAAATCATAAATGTACCTACGGCCCAAAGGGTCCTCGCCACGGACATGATGTGGCCCAAGTACAGATGCATCGTGCTGATCCATAACATCATCAAGAGGACCACCATCTACTCCGTGATATCGCAGTATGACAGGTCTACCGATATGAATGTGCTCCTATGACCATAGTTGTACGAGCAATAAAAAACCACTCATCTCTCCACTGTCACAATGGCAACCTCGACATAACTGCCGATATAGGTATGCTAAAGTCGCACTACCCCAGCTATAAAGCGCTGCTACATCAAAAGTCTCTAGAATGGGTAAATACAAGACCTGCACCTCATTACCGCTCTTGTCTACAAATGTGGAGGGTCCCATAAGCATCAAAATGTAGGCTCTAGCGTACTGCTGCACAACAGCGTCATTAGCATGAAAAAGTAAATCAGTAAAGTGTTGTCTCAACCAAGCCATCCTCAAGGCGGACTCCCAAATATCTGTCCCAGCGTGTGGCCATACTCCCAACAATCTGTGTACCTAATCAACCCACACTCTGCACGCAGTCCCAGTAACTGCCCGACCCTCGATGGGTAGACCTGCCAATACAGCCACATCTCCCAAAGTGATAGTGACCTCACCCACCGGTAAATGGAAAGTGTGAGTCTCCTGTCTCCAACGCTCAAGTAGAGCGATAAGTAATGCTCTATCTATATGAAGAGTTGAAACTAATATGTGAACACCGTAAAACCCGACTAATCGAACGTAATGTAGAATCCTATCATCCACCTGCATGTGGAATATAGTGTGTAGGTGCTCGCGACACCTATCTACCTGAACATCCAGGCCACGCCACACATCCTCGCTCCGGTGCGTGGCCTGCAATGTCATGACCGAAGGATCAATCAGTGTGGGACCCACTGACACCTGCATCGGCACTGTAATAGTAACATATGTATTAGTTTTTTTATTTTGTTATTAAAATTAAATGTATTTAAATGTATTTATTTTTTAATGTTATTAATGCATTTGCGAATAAAAGAACAACATTACCCAGTGGAACTCCCTACGTGTCCCTGTGATCTTTTAGCACATATCATCCTGTTATGCCCCATTTGCTTGCATAAACCGCATCTTACAGTACCTCTAGGACCTTCATCCATTTCATTTCTCAACCGTTTAGCCTTCGGATGACCTTTAGCACGAATCATTGACGGGTCATGCACAACTCGTGGTCCAGTGAAAGTAGGTCTATAAACTATATCTGGTATGGGCTTGAATACTCTTTTATAAGAAGCCGAGTACTCCGATGATGAGAAAAACGTATCAACAAAAGCATCATAGGACAAACTACGATCTCTGCATACCGTTAAGATGTGTGAGCAAGGAATCTTATAAATATTCAGCTTCTGACATGTGCAATGAAGACATTGCAAATTCACTGTTTGTTTTGTACCACCCTTCCCCACAGTTCGAGCACCACAACCCGTCTTCACTTGGTATAAACCACGGCCTATGTCAAATGTTGTGACCTTGTGATGCTTTTCCTTTTCCGTATTTCTTTCAATCAGTTCAGTCACTTACTGGCAGTAGCGATGCCCTTCTGTTAACCTTCTCTTACTAGTTTCTCTTCTTTCCACAAAATAGGCATTCACACGATAGAATGATAACTCAACTAACGCGGTTCTAGGCAGGTATCGGGCACTTTTCATGACGTTATTGATTACTTCAGCCATGTTCGTTGTTGTTGTCACGCCCCGGACCTAACCGGACACGTCAACAACCCACCGTACAGTACGAATAGTCAACCGCAGTCCAACTCATCCATACTATACAAGGCGTCATGAACATCATTCACACATAGTACATCCATAAACAAATATAATGTAAATCATTCATTTAAAACAGCGGAAACAACATTACAAGTGTTCAAGCCACACTTGGCAAACATGGGTATACAAACCCCCGAAATGTATATTCAGAAAATAATATCCATGAGCATTATTCATATTGTTTTCAAAACAAGAACGGAAGAAGCACGAACCAAGTCTTCTTCTCAGAAACTTCCCGAAACAGCGGCTGATAGTAGCAACCTTCAAGTTCTACCTGAAACTGTGAGGTGGCCTCCCCCGTGAAGGGGAGGTCAGTACTTGGAAGCATTTGACAAGTACAATGACAACTATACTAAGTATAATCGAAGTTTAAATCTCTGAGGTCCTCAATCTAGAGCATTATTACATTTTAGTTAATCCGTTCATTTAGTATCAATTCATCATTATTTACCACGGTCTAGAGCCCAGCTCATAATCACCGTTATCTACTACGGTCTAGAGCCCCGCTCATAATCACCGTCATTTACTACGGTCTAGAGCCCAGCTCATAATCACCGTCATCTACTATGGTCTAGAGCCCAGCTCATAATCACCGTCATCTACTACGGTCTAGAGCCCAGCTCATAATCACCGTTATCTACATCGGTCTTGAGCCTGGCTCATAATCACCGATTCTTTATAATTCAAATTCTTAGGATCTAATTCATCCATTTCTCAACTAACATTTCCAACTAATATTCCAATGCTAGTTAATTATTTATTTCAATATAATCCTTTCTTCATGCATGATTGGCCTTAATATCAAGTATCACTTTTATACCTTCATGGCTTCTCTTCATGGTATCAAAGTATATTATCTCAAATGAAATTCATGGTTGGTACAATCATCATTCACTCATATTCATAACATCTAAACATACCCAATTTATTCATAAATTTGTATATCATGCATATTATACTTCTAATCAATAGTAGTTTTATTTATGCATTATTTACCATTAACAACCCATGCACATCACATTTGTATTCACTTAGGAAATCCCATGAAATTAACCCAAAGATTATAAGTAACATAGTCGGTCATCTTCACCTTAATTAAGCTTAAGCGCGTTCTACGTTCCTCGATGGAACTTTGACCAACTCCAGCGAACTTTGACCAACTCCGGCGAACTTTGACCAACTCCGGCGAACTTTGACCAACTCCGACGAAACACCGGCGAAGCTCAAAAATACTTTAAATCAAGTTCCTAACAAGGTTTTATCATCACAAAACCCATATCAACACAAATAACCTATAAAAGGTTATTTTCCGGCAAGCCGGTCGATTTGGCTTCTAAGTCCGTTTTTGGACTTAGAATCACTTTCCAACCCATTATTCCACACCTAAATCATGTAGAACAATACTAAAAGTCTTCATATGATATATATCTTATATGCTAGAAGAAAAACAAAGGAAAAGTTATGATAAGGTCTTTACCTTAATTTTCACACTTTTTCCTAGCTTTTTCCTTCTTTAACTTCCTCCCAACTTCCTTGTTTTGAGCTCAGCTCGAATTTTGCTATGGAAGATAAAGTTGTAGAGGTTCTTTCTCCCTTTCTCTTGATGCTGACCGAACTAGTGAGGAGGGGGATGGGTAGGAATGCCCCTTTGTCTCCTTTTGGGCAATGAGTGAAAGAGAGGAGGGCCACCATGATTTGTTTTGATGCCAAACATCTCAAATCAGTCCTCTCCCACCTCACCTCTCCTACCAGCCGACTCAGCCCTTGAATAATGTGGCTAAATTCGAGGGTTGGCCCCCACCCATGTGGGAGGTCAACCCTTTTTGTCCAGAAGTGTACAATCGGTCCTGAAAGTTGTATTTTCCGGACTGTTTTAAGTATATTTTATTTTATCGGGTCAAATAAAATATAACACTTGTTCCCAATTCTTAATGGACCTTAGAATCAGTATGCATTCCTCAACTTTAATTTAGAAGTCTCCGAAATCCCTTTTCGGGCTGTTATCTGATAGATTGCCGATACTGATAATTTGGCCCCGTTTGACCAACCGGTCAACCCTATGCCATTGTCATGGCTCAACTAGGACATCCACCACCATATACATATTATCTAGTCCAAGATCAATATAATATGTGGCCCCGATAAAATCGGGCGGTCCCCACTCCCGATGTGGGCCCCACGTGCATTTTACTATTCACGCGAAAAAATTAATACAAATTCACAACTTCGTAAATTCACTAAAAATTTCATAGGGTTCAATAAATTATTCGCTTAAAGATAAATACATTTTGGGACGGTGTTACAAGTTCACCCCCCCCCCCCTTATTTGGGATTTCGTTCCCGAAATCCGCGTGTCTAATCGAAAAGGAAAGGGTACTGCTCCCTCATTGAGACTTCAGTCTCCCAAGTTTCTTCTTCGACTCGATCACTCCTCCAAAGGACTTTTACCATAGGAATCTCCTTATTCCTCAGTTTCTTTACCTGTTGACCCACAATCTTCACCGGTTCCACCGCATATTGTAGGTCTTCACGTATCTCTACCGGTGGTTTCTCAAGGATATGAGACGGATCTCGCACGTATTTCTTGAGCATCGATACA